CTTGGGAGGCAGAGGCAGGCGGATTTCTGAGTTTGAGGCCAGCCTGGTCTACAGACTGAGTTCCAGGACAGCCAGGGCTACACAGAGAAATCCTGTGCCAAGGGCAAAGTAACAGATTAACCCTGAAATATTCTCTTCCCACCTCCTGAGCACTGAGATTATAGGCACATACCACTATGCTTGGGAATACTTTTGTTTTTCGTTTTTTTGAGATTTTTTTCCTGCCTGCACCCTGGCTGTTCTGGAAATCAATCTGTAGAGTAGGCTGGCCTCAAACTCAGAGATCCACCTACCTCTGCATCCTGAGGTCTGGGACTAAAGGTATGTACCTCCAACCCTGTGTAAGACCTAATTTAACAAACTGAGTAAAAATTTTCGTCTAGATGGTTGCTGAGGACTTTACTATTGTACCATCATTAGGGCAACCAGCTGATGCTACCTATCGAGTCTGGTAAAATACTGTAAACTGTTGGGCAAGGCAAACGAAGTCTGACACTAGTTCTGAGCTTAGTGAGATTAAAACTTAGATTAAAACTTAGTGAGATTAAAGCTTAGTGAGTTGTAAAAGTGATGAGTATCAGCTGGAAGTAGTAAAATAATAGTCTAGTATGACTGAAGTTTTTACTGGTTATGATGGACAAAGTTAAAATCGAATCTTTAAACATCATAGAAAGTAAAGTTCAAGCCAGGTATGATGATTTATTTCTGTAATCTCAGCACTTGGGAAAGACAGGATAAGTTCAAGGACAGTCTGAGCTCTAGGAGATCCTGTCTTAAAACTCCAACCTATCAAGCACACAGTTCAACCAATACAAAGTTGCTTTTTTGTTTTTCGAGACAGGGTTTCTCTGTGTAGCCCTGGCTGTCCTGGAACTCAGTCTGTAGACCAGGCTGTCCTGGAACTCAGAAATCCACCTGCCTCTGTCTCCCAAGTGCTGGAATTAAAGGCGTGCGACAACACTGCCTGGCTCATTGTAAAATTTCTAATAAAACTGGTATGTTTGATGTGTTACTTCCAGCTTACTTGTGAGATTAGGATGTCACTGCATAAATCGCATCTATCCACCATGGATTAATTTGTCATTAAGAGCTTTAAAAAACTGTAGGTAAACTGTTGACAACTTCCGAGGATGGACTTTAGTCCAACCCTTAGAATCTCCTCCTTCTCCCCTTTGAGAAATACCAATGTTCATAGGGAAGTGATGGTGCACTCCTTTATCCAAGTATTTGGGAGTCAGATTTATGATTTTAATGCAAGCCTGGTATGAATGAGTTCCAGGACAGGGTAACATAGTGAGCACTTTTATCACCTATTTGGTTAACCATTAACAGGCACATAGTGCTTGAGTTTAAATTCAAAGTCTTCTGTATCCCCCCAGACAGGCATCAACCACCTTCCCATGAAGCATGATGCTAAGAATCACATTTGAGGACTAATGCATCCTATACACTCACTCTACCAATGAAGCTTCACTCTCAACCTAATTTGATTTTCTAATGATCTACTGTGTCTCAGGAGTCACTGTGTTGCCCTAATATCCTAGGGTACCAATATTATCAATGCTCTATGGCACTCATTCCATTTGTAACTTTTACTTCCCCATAGCATCAGCTCAGTTTTCTAAAGGTTCTAGAAAAGAAGTTAATGTTTTAACAGTTGACATTCCTTTCAGCTAGGTTTTGCTTACTCAAACCTCTTTTTGAGACTGTGGCTTTGAGAGGAAGCTATGCAAAGTAATGAATTTGCACAAAGTTGATGCTAAATTCGAGAAGGGAGATTTTATCTTATTAGGATTCAGTTATAACATTAGTTAATGTACTGGCCTAACTATCCTCTCACATATTTGGGAAGATTTATGGTAATGAAAGCAAACCATTATTAAGCCACTCAAGGCACAGGCTGGACTTGACTGCTACTCTCACTTCCATTTCTGTGGTGCTGGGATCACACTAAGGGCAGTACATTCTAACAGATGAGCTACATCTCCTTTGAGTTTTCTCAAACAAACCACAGCATCATAGGCAACTAGTCATCACTTGACAGTAAACAAGCAGCACAAAAGTACTGCACCCATCATGTAGGAATGTAACTATTACCTCATGCTCTAGGTTTTAGGATAATATAACTGTCATCTGGGAAACTAAGAAACCACCAAACTGATAAAAGCATGTATGTATCCATGAGTCAAGATTTTCTCATAAAGGTTCTCAATCTACAGTTTATTTTCCAATTGGGGTGCTTTACACAGACACCCCTCATGATCCCCACAGTACCATAAAATTTTCTAGAGACCAAGAGTTTACGGCTGTGAATACATGTTAGTTGGCAGTACACGCCTAGCATTGCCGACGCCCTGGCTTCAACCTTTGACATGACACATATTGAACTTGTTTTCTTGACTGAGGTTCTCTGCCAGATCCACAAAGCAGCTCACAGCCATCTGTAATGCTAGTTCGAGATTTAGTTCTGGTTTCCACGGACACTGGATACTCAGATTTTAACTTAAAAAAAAATTGTTGACTTTCCTGCGTTTTGTTAGATTTATTAGAAAAGCCAGTGCTCTTGTAACCACTGAATCATCTTTCTAGTCCGTTTTGTTAATTTTGAAACCAATTTAACCTGTCTGTCCATACCACTGTATCAAAGATTAGTAATTTATCATTCAATTGGCCTTTTCCTAGCTACCTTTTGATAGGTGATCCTGCCTTTTTATTTTCTTGGCTTCCAAAACTCACTCTTAAATAGATGACTTACCTTCATCACAAGTTTCCTATATTCTAGATGTCTAAAATTTCCAGAAGCAACAAGGATAACTCACTCCTTATGTAGAGAGGGAAGAGTTTATTTTAAAGCTTTCACTATGTACAATAGTCTGTGAAGGTTATATATGTGCATAAGAGGCTTAACATTAGCACTATTAAATGAGTCCAATGAGATGCTGGCCTTTAATGTTTTAGGTATGACTAAAATATTATAAATTGTTTAAAAATAATTAACTCATTTCACTAATAACCTGAAGATACAGTATCACACAAAGCAAACAAAGCATGTTCAATGTGTGTCTATAAATTACTGAGTCATGAACGTATCAAGTTCTTGCCACACAACTTTCATCCATTCTTTTTAAAGGATGATGATGTTGATGTGAAGCCTGCAAAAAAGAGTGAATCTCCCTTTACTCATAAAGTGAACATGAAAGCCAGATTTGAACAAATGGCGAAGGCAAGAGAAGAAGAAGAACAAAGGAGAATTGAAGAACAAAAGTTACTACGAATGCAGTTTGAACAGAAAGAAATCGATGCAGCACTACAGAAGGTATGTATAAACGGAGATGGTATTCTAAACATGCCTGCAAGCAATTAAGAAACATTATAGCTGCTGGGCAGTGGTGGTGCACGCCTTTAATCCCAGCACTTGGGAGGCAGAGGCAGGGGGATTTGAGTTTGAGGCCAGCCTGGTCTACAGAGTGAGTTCCAGGACAGCCAGGGATATACAGAGAAACCCTGACTCGAAAAAACCAAAAAGAAACATCATAGCCTAGCTAGCTTTCAAGCCACTGGAATGGGTTAGGTAGTATAGTAACTAGCTCTTTTCTGTGTCAATCAATGAAACCCAGGGCATCATGCTTGCTAACCAATACTCAGGTATATCCCAAACTTTCTTTACCTTCAAAATTCAACTCACTAAAATAAATGCCAACTTGATAATACACTTATATTAATACAGAAAAGAGAAGAGGAGGAGGAGGAAGAAGGTAGCATTGCTAATGGCTCCACTACTGAAGACGAAGAGCAAACCCGATCAGGTGCTCCATGGTTCAAAAAGCCTTTAAGAAATACCTCGGTTGTAGACAGTGAGCCAGTCAGATTTACTGTGAAAGTCACAGGAGAACCCAAGCCAGAAATTACCTGGTGGTTTGAAGGAGAAATGCTGCAGGATGGAGAAGACTATCAGTACATCGAAAGAGGTGAAACTTACTGCCTGTATTTACCAGAAACTTTCCCAGAAGATGGAGGCGAATATATGTGTAAAGCAGTCAACAATAAAGGCTCAGCAGCGAGTACCTGTATTCTTACCATTGAAAGTAAGAACTAATTGGCTTTTGATCCTTTGTTTTATTAGGAAATAAATAGGAAAAAATATCATTCTTCTTCTTCTTCTTTTTTAGTGGATGACTACTAGGCTTCCTTCTTTACTTGGAACTCACTCTCTCACCAACTCTCTCGACACATCTCTCTGGAAGGGCCAGAAAGGAGACCAGAAGTGCCACTATACTGACTTAATCTTTCCCCAAATCTTCAAAATAAGAGTGCATCTAAAGAACACCATTTCCAATGCATATTAGGTTTATTACCATGCTGTGCAAAGTCAAAATGTAGCTGACAGAAAAGGGAAATAAATGCACCCATTCTGTCAGAACCTAAAACAAAAGCTTCATATTTACAGCAATTATTAAAGTATACAGTCTGCATGAAAAAAATTGATTTTTTAAACTAGCTACTGACAATGAAAGCGGAATGAATGATCAGTAGATTTAGAAAAAAGTGATTCATTTTGATTTAAATTTCTAGTTTTAAAAGTAAGTTTTGTAAATGTCAAGTGTGGTATTACAAGCCTTAGCCTCACACATGGGAAGTAGGTGGATCTCTGATCTAGTTAGCCTGGTCTACATAGTGAGACCATGTTACCCTGGCTCCTAACAACACAGTCTGTAAATAACAGTCTATTACGTTCTAATGTTGGGTGGTTTTATATTTAATTTTCTGGAAAACATGTTGTGAAACAATAAAGTTACCTGTGCATTAAAAGGTCCTTTTTTTTATTTTAAAAACTGTGTAATAATTTATTTGCCTTTTTAAAAGTTGAATGCATTTACCATTTAAAAAGGCAAAATCAAAACCATTACTTTTCTCACAGTAAACCTTTAATGACAGGAATAAAGACAAAAAAATTTTACTCAGTATACATATCAAAGACACAAAAAGACAAAAAGCACTCATAATAGTAATCACTGTACATTTATTTTTTTAATTAAAGAAACCATAAAGAATACAAAATTACAACAATCATGTGCCCTTTTACATACAATGTCATTAAAGCAAAAACTCTAAACCAGTTTGTAAAGTATTCAATTTACCTCAAGTCCAAGCTGCATCTCCCTAAGACACTGTTCCCATCACAGTAGCCATTTTAAGCCAATCTTCTTTTAACACACGGGTAGTTTCTGTAGAGAACACTTTTCTCAGGACGAAAATGCATCGAGCATGCATAAGAAAATATATATATATACTCGCAAATACATTAAAGAGCTTCTTAGAGTATCACTGAAGAAAATAAAACCCAGGGATTTATTTGCTTCTTTAAAGCACCAATTAAAAAAAAATCCCTCAATTAAACTTGTAATAAAATTTGATTGACTGATTGAACAAAAAAGCAGTTATTTTCAGTCAAATTATTTTTAAGTATTATGAAAATGCATTTTAAGCCAGGCAGAATTTGCAGAACTAAAACAAGATTATCTCCAGTGAGTTAATGCTACATCAATATTCTAGACATGTAACTCTTTTCAGGAAGAACTAGTTGTCATGGCAAAGTATTCAAGTGAACAAACCTCCCCCCACGAGCACTTGCTACTCCTGTCTAAACCCACTTCTGTCAATTAAGTACCAAGATCTTTAAGAAAACACTTTACAACTAGTATCACGTCACCAGTTTTAGTATTAAAATGATTCTCTAGTATACGCATTTCTGAAACAGCAAAACAAAGAATTCTAAATATCACTACACTATCATGTATGGCATTAAAAATAATCTGTAAACTTTTAATTAAACGAGTTTACTTTCAGTCTAAACCATTCACTTTTCTACCAATCTGCCACATTCATATCAATTGGCTCACCTTTTCTACTTTCTATTTAAAGGTTAAGATCCATGCTATTTAAAATGCTTACAACACCAGTGAAGGTTATGGTAATAAATTAAAAGTTCTTCAAAATAGAAACAATCTCCAATATCTACAAGCATTCATCTACATTTCCAAATGGATGGAAACTACAACTAACCAAAACTTGACAGGCTCTACAGATCTGCTTGCAACATACTGACCTGATTCTCATACACACACACACACACACACACACACACACACACACACACACACACTCTCTCTCTCTCTCTCTCTCTCACACACACACACACACGCACACACTGTGGTGCAATAACTCTATAACTTAAACAGTTCATGGAACATTTAAGCACTTTAAAATGAAAAGTGATCAAGAGCAGGTACATCACACCCTATACCATATTATGTATGGGAAGACAGTTCATAGTTCTCAATTATGATTTGCCATTTTACCTTCTACATTGAGCCCTTCTATGGTCCATGCTCATCGGCTCACCAATGGCATACACTCAAAGGATTCCTCTTTATGGGTAACTATCTCAGGACCTGATTTTATGAGCTATGATTTGGTGCTTGCAGCATCTTCAGCACTGTGTGTGAAAATGAAGGCAGCATTTTTGAATATTTTTCTTTGTTGTAAAGTTAAGCAGGAGTTTTTAATAGGATCAGCACATTTTAGAAAATGAATAAAAACAACTGATATGGTGCTGCTTTAAGATAGTTATTTAACTCAAAATATGCACTAAACATCACCCCTAAGAACACAAACAGTTTAAACTGGCAAAAAGGAAATGCAGTGGCAGTTATTAAAATATTATAAATCAGAAACTATTGGTTATGCAGATTATGAAAAGTTATTTGTTATACAATTAACATTTCACTGATGCACATGCCTTTTTTCAAAACTTACTGCCAGTATTCTTTTTTCAGTATCCTTGTCAGCAAATACAAGTCATGAAAATAGAACTATGAAACTGAACCAAAATCTTCTTACTGAATTACTTACTATAAAGCAGTAATAATACAGGGGAATAAAATAAGAATATAAAAAGATCATAGATTTGGAGGGCAAAGAAAATTTCCTGTTACTCATACAAACAGGCTATGAAGGCTGTTGAAATTTCTGACCAAATGACTTCCTAAGTCTTAACTATTTAATTCTTCTTACTGTAACACTTCTGTAACTCTGGGGGAGAGGGTGTACAAAAAGGTTTGGACGTTGTCAGTTATCGCAGCAATCTACTCATTTTATTTTAATGAAAAAACAAAACAAAAAAATACAACAACAACAAAAAAAAAAACATTACCCAAAATTGTCAACAGTTGCTTGAACAACTTAACAGACTTTCCACTAGAATGGTACCATAAATAACAAAATACATTTGGGGAAGCAGTACCAGATTGCTTTTGAGTACACAACCACAAAAACCTCACAGGGACAACATTAATGTACTGATATATTTATATATATGTCCTTAGGTTGTGCTTACCTGTTGCTTTTTGCAGCAGAACCTAAGGTGGAAGGTCTGGGAAGGCACTGTGAAGTATAAATAATTGCACTGTTTGCAATTAATAAAGATTTTAAATTTTAAACGAATCAAAATCAACAGCCTCCAATTTGTGAATTATGATACTGAATCCAACTATTTCCTTCAGTTTAATTACTAAATGCACCACAACACTTTCCTAGCTCATCTAAGCAACAACATCATGCAAAATACTGAAATTGTTCATGTCAATACCCTACACTTAAGATCTTAACAGATAACTCCTTAACTATTACTATTAAACTTCATACTAGATCTAAATATGGGTAAGGGAAGTCACTAAGTTACATAAAACAATCAAAACATTTCAAAACATCCACAATGAGCTCTACTATTTTCTGCCCTATAACCTCAACATTTTGTCCTCATACACACGGTGCTCCCTAGAGATGATACAACATTTATGAAAAGGTGTTAAAGTCCTACATTGCTTAAATTTTGCAAACTGAAAACCACTTCTGTCTTAAACATTTCAAGTTTTTTATATAACTATAAAAGATAGGCATATTTTACACTGAAAAACAGCATTTTAGGAGCACTGATAATACTACTTTCAACTTTGTTAATGATCAATTTTCTTTAGCTATTAGCTAAAGCATATCAAAAATACTTACCCATTAAGCTCACTTAAAAAAAATACAGAACTATGTATTATTCTATGTTAAGAAGCAGTTATGGTTTCCCATGACATCAGCACTGTATTCCAACATAATAGTCACACAAAATATAGCATTTCATTATGTGGAACATTGACAAAAAGATACTGTTGCAGTTCATCAATTTGTCATTCTGATGTACTTACAGTGCAATGCTCCTTGAAGGAACACAATCAAGGATGATACACAGCACAGTCCTCCTCACCCCTACAGAGCTAGTTCTATACTGGCTGGATCAAACCTGCACTTCAACAGACAATGGCAAGACAGACTGTATTTGCATGTAGTCTAATATATTAATATGCAAAGAGCCAACAAATATGCAGAGTAAAACAATGGTTTTCAACAAAATATCAGAACTTCAGCATGAATGTTAAAGATTAATAAAATGATTCAAGTACATAAAAAAAATTAATTTGATTCAATGACTGGACTTGTGCAATTACAAGACAAAGCTTATCTATACTGCAAAAAGAAAAAAAAAGCTTGAACATTTTCATACCCCAAATGTTTCAATGGCAGATGCAATGTAGCTATACTTTCGCATTCTATTACTTTTCTATCCTGAATTTAGAAAGAAACACACTATTATATATATATATATACATTGAAAGAGTTGCTTTACATGGAAAAAAAAAAACAATGTTTCTTATAAACTCCTCAAATCACTGTCTGAAAACTGTTCAAAATGAGTTATGCTGAAACAGTCTTGGAAATAAGTGAAGAACAGGAAGGTTAACTGTTGTAGCAGCAGTACAGGTCTGAAATAGTGCTCATGTATAAAAGAAATTTCACTGTTAATGCAATGCAAGTATACTAAAGATCATCGTATACACATGCAGTTTTTTTTAATCAAATAGAAGGGAAAAAAAATGAAGATATCAAGATTACTTGTGCTGAAACAGCCAAATACAACAGAAGAGAACTTCCAATCTACCACTATACTCCAACAGGGAAAAAACATGCCAGTGTTTAAAAACTAAGTAATTCATGGGGAAAGCTTATATATTCGTGTACATGTATCTTAATTTATCAATGCTAAGAAATTATGAATCCTTTACCCACATATCCAACTTACCGACACAGGAGGTTTCATATCATTTATTGTAAAGCACAAAACAGGCATTTTAAAAGTGAAAGTATACATTGAAAAAGTACATTTATATCACAAAGCATCGACCACATAATAGTTGCAAATACATTTGCTGGAATGTGTACATCTACACTAAAGACTAAAAACAAACCAATTTTCATTTCTACACAGAAATATTAACCTCCTATCAGTAGTGATAGATATTTTTGTACATTTTCAAAATTAAAAAAAAAGGGGGAAAAAAACACTACTTTAAACCAAAAACAAAATTAAGATCTTCATCAAGTCGTCTGCATCCATATATTTAACAAAGGTTTTTTCCCCCACACAATGAAGCAAATACTGTATTGTCCACTTCTTATTATTGGCCCTGTGCAGAAGAGATACATAAGAGATACACAAAAAGTTAAAGAAAATCCTTTAAATGGAGCTAATTCAGGAGTGAATCCTTTAAGAAAGAAAAACTGGTTAATATAAATGATGGTGGCTTCTTGCATGATTTGCAAATCCCTGGGGGAAGAAAATTTATTTTTAAAATCAAAGGCATTATAAAAATAGCATTCAGATGCCAGAAAGCATTTTTAGAAAAACTGAATCCCCAAACACAACACAATATCTCATGTACTTATATTTTACCAAGTAAAAAGTAAAACATATTCATTCCCAAATAGACAAACATGCAGAAAACATGGTTGGAGTGAAAACCAAAACAAAAAACCAAAACAAAATCAGCTAATGTATTATACCTGAGGTGCTGGAGGGTGCTGCGGCATTCCCTGGGGACTTGTCTGGGCATAATAGGCTGCTTGCTGTCTATAGTACTCAGCCCAGGCTGCACTATAATCTGGTTGACCACCTGGTGGGGCCCCAGTAGGAGCAGGAACTGCTTGACCTTTAGGAAAACAGAGGACTTCATTGTTGCAACTGTAATTACAAATCTCACAGTATCTTACTTCTTGTAATACTCCTCCAAAGCCTTAATAGCCTTGTGCCTGCCCTTGTGACCTAACCCCCCCCCATTCCGTAACTTTAATACAAAAATGTATGCACTGTAATAATGAAAGGCACAGAGGGTCAATAGTTCTTATTTTTATCTTGACACAGGGTTTCACTTATGTAGCCCAAACTGGCTGGCTCAAAACTTGTATTCCTCTTGGCAACTTCCCAAGTTGGTGGGATCATATATGTGTCTCATTGCCCCTTCAGTTACTGTTTATCTTAAATATGCCTTAAACAGACAGGGAAGAGAATGAGGGAAAAACAGTGCGGTACACAAAACAAACAGGAAATATGCTTTTCTCATTTCAATCACAAATTTTAGTCTTTTATTTAGCACACTCAGTAAAAGATAAAGTGATCCAAACTCACATACCTTTAAACAAAGGGGAATAGTCAGACATAATCTTTGACAAGGAAAGAAGAAATGTCTTTTGTTGTTGTTGTTCACTATCCAGGGCTCCGTGGAGATCTACCTGCTTCTGCCTCCTGAGTGCTAGTACTAAATGCATCCATGTGCCACCACACCTAGCTCACTATTTCTTTTATCCACTTGGGTCCTATGTTATAGTACTAGCCTTAAACTACAAAGAACTACTGACAGATATGTACATGCCCCCCCCCACGCCATGACACAAGACACTGTGTTCATATCATAGTACAGCTTTACTAAAAATAACCTGGCAGCTGAAATAAAGATTCACGAGTAATTTATTTTGTTTCTAGGCAGAGTGACCATTTGGAGTTACCAAATGAAAAAAAAAAAAAAATCAAATCCTAGAAATATTGACCTGATTTTGTGAACAAGTTAATTGCAAATGACAGTTTCTTGACCAGAACATTACAATAGTTAAGAACAGAGGGTATTATTCAATATATTTAAAAGAAATTGGTTTACAACTTACTTTGTAATGGCCCAGGCATAAAATATAAATAAAAATCATTTGGCTGAACATATTGGCCAAGTTTGTCAACAATGCAATTTATTTTTTTTTAACAACTTTTTAACGTTTTGAAATTTCCAAAGCTTTTACTTCCTCTGGGCTCTAAGGTATTATATTATTTGCCTTCAGAGTCCATTATATCAGTCCTTAACACTATAAGGGCTTAAAAAAAAAGCATTACTTTGTTGTATATGGAATATGTGTGCTCAAGCATACAGACCGTGTGTGTGTGTGTGTGTGTGTGTGTGTGTGTGTGTGTGTGTGTGCAGATGTCGGAAGGAACTCTGCATTCCTCAATTCCTAGGTCAGCAGTCTCTGGACAAGTATGATTATCCAATGGAGCCGTCTCACTGCCCCACAGTAGCTCTTAAAGCACCCCCCAAAATGTTTTCACTTAATTTTCCTCCAAACAAGAATTACCTTACTCTTCACTCTAACACTTAATTCTTTTTTTTTTTTTTTTTTTTGGTTTTTTGAGACAGGGTTTCTCTGTGTAGCCCTGGCTGTCCTGGAACTCACTCTGTAGACCAGGCTGGCCTCGAACTCAGAAATCCGCCTGCCTCTGCCTCCCAAGTGCTGGGATTAAAGGCGTGCGCCACCACCGCCCGGCTCTAACACTTAATTCTTTACCCATTACAGAAGTTTTTATTCTACCTGAAAGTTCTACCACTATATATTCTGTTCTTCCTCATGACATTTTTTCCTTTTATCTACAACCTCATCTAGGAATCTCTAGAGTTTTTGTAGTGTTATCTCAAGAAACTCATGTTCTAGTAGGTTTGCTACTGAGGAAATGATGACAAACTTACAGTCTATTACAGCCCCCTTCCCACTTTGGTTTTAAGAGGAAAAGCTAGAAGTAGAGCTCTAGACACCAGGAGTTCAGAACTGCATCAAATACATACTAGTTTCAACTGCATAGCGTAAGTTATGTGAGACACTTAAAAAACCAATCACCTACCAACCAACCAAAACCCAAAACTCCTCACTCAAAAAAACACCAAGAGGGGAGAACTCATTAAAAAAAAAATCTTAACACTTCTGTTTGCTTAGTTTTATAAATAGAGTATGCAGACAGGAATTACCCTCAAGGAACCAGGAAATCCACCCAGGCTACTTTGGAAAGTCAGCAAGAAAAGTGACTTTGGAGATAAAAATTCACACACCCACACTAGGGACCCTGTATGCAGTCAAGCACTCTACTAAATTAAACTATAGGCCTTCAAGTTTTTATTTCTCCTCTCTTCCATGTAAAACACACCAAGACTCAACTTCTGGACGTGGATGAGTATGCATATGTACAAGCACGGAAGGCCGGAGGAACCATCAAGGATCTTCCTCCATCCCTCTGTATCTCACTCTCTTCCTCTTACTGAATCTAAAGTTGGCTAGAACGCTCCTGCAATTGCTTCCCAACTGTAGTTATCAGGACTCGCAACTGTCCACGCTTGGGTTTTTAAGATGGGTAAGTGGGGATTTGAACCCAGGTCATTAAGAACTCTTACCCATCTACTTCCTGAGCTCCTAGATAGAACCTTTTCAAAAGCTTTGCTTAAGGTCTCTTAATTTGTGATCATCCTAACTAAAAAGATACCAAGGTCAATACTTTCAAAAAAGAATTGAAGTTAAACATTTTACAGGGAAAATTTTTATAACTATCATACAACATTTATTCAATGATTAACTAAATTACCTAAAAACAGTGTTTTTCAAGATATATGACAGGGATTTGTTCAATTAGTCTTTTCTTGCTCACAACATTAAGATCTCCCCACATAATTACAAAAAAAGCACAAATGAAGAAAATGAGACTCCAAATAGTTATTTACTTAAACAGTTACTTCTGTGCCATGTGTCTGTTTTTATGTGTGTGTCTGTCTATATAAATGTTTATTGATTGATTGATTGATAGATATGACAATCAAGAACAGGAATTCACTGATTTCTGTGCTGGGAAGTGCTAGAACATTAAAAACTAAAACCTAATTCAGTTAAAATATCTACTCTCAAAAGCTCTGATAATATACTTTTAAAAAATACAGAATGCAAGATAGCTAGCAAAACTTATTTGAAGTCACTTAAACAAATAGGACATAATTGAGCAGAGATGTCAACCTTATTCTGTCCTAATTACCTAATTCAGTTACCAGGTTTCCACCTAATCAACACATGAACATACCTGGTGCATTACACAGTAAAGATAATGCACATTAGCCTTAACATGCTTAATGTCTGATAAATAAGTAGCATTACTTCAGTACGGTGGATACATACCTTGACCACCGGCTATCCTAGAATAATTTATACATTTCCATCTATTCTCAAAAATATCCCAGTTAAGAAATTATGTAATCATTCTAATTACACAGAATACTATTTTAAGGTTTCAAGTTTCTACTGCTAAAGTTCAACTGTTATAACCTGCCTGAGATCAGTGAGGTTAAGAAAAGTTATTAGCCCATCTGTTCATCTCAGGAGTATGTCATCAATCATTTCTATAAACAGTTGTTCAAATACAAAACCTCTTTAGTCTGAAAGCAGCTTTGTAGAAAGCTGTATCATCAGTAAGAAATACATTTACACAATCACTACGGTTCTGTTAAGAATTATGTTCAATAGCTGTCAAAATCTTTTTAAAAAAGGTCACTCCCCTTTTTCCCTTTCCAATGCATGCAAATGTTTATTAAACATTTATTAATTTAATAATTTATTTATTAATGTTTATTAAAGCAAAGCACTTCCTGACACTATGGGTTAATTTCCTGCTTATTTTGCAGTAAAATCAGTGATATAACTGCTTTTCTGGCCTAAAATTTAATCCCATTCCATTTGCACCACGACACAAAAGTACAGTAATAAAGCCATATGTTATTTCCTAGTAACTACATGTCAGGTTTTAACTAACTTGTGGACAATTGCATTTCTTTGCCATATAAGCAATTATAAGAATTTCTTGGATTGCTCTTAATATGCTTTAACCTCCCAGTAAGTTTTAGAATGTCACCTCTCCTGTTTTATTATTTTTGTTTTCCAAGATGGGGTTACTCTAACAGTTTCAACTGTTCTGAACCTTGCTTTGTAGACCAGGCTGGCCTCAAACTCAGAGATCTACCTTCCTCTACCTTTCAAGTACTGGGATTAAAGGCATGTATCACCACTGCCTAGCTTGTTTGATATTAACTTTAACATTATAAAAACATATAGGTGAGTTATCGAAAGTATTTTTATAAGCAAGTATTTTGTTACCAATATCTAACTTTGTAATGTGTACTTACTTCAGTTTAATGAATAAAAGATAGACATAAAAGTATAGAACATACCCATTTTCTTGTAGTATTCTTCCCAAGCCTTTGTATAATCAACCTGTCCAGCTGGAGCTGGATTCTGCTGATCTCCTTTTTAAAGAAACAAAGCAAACAAGATTTAACTTACTCAAGGCTATTTTGCACTTCTGCTTCCACACCTTCAGTACTGTAATGAACGCTGTCTCCCATAGAGCTGTGCAAGTGTTGGGGATACATGGTGGTGTGTACAGAAGAGGTGGACATAGAAACTGGGACAGTAAATCAAGGCACATGAAAGAAATAGACAACATCAAGTTTCTGCCCATTTTTAAGTACAAAAGGTTTCTTTTTTAGAAAAACCATAAATAACTTTGAAGCACTAGAGCGGAATTAAATGTTAAATTAAAAAAAAAAAATAAACAAAAAACCAGCATATAGTCATGTGATTTTTTAGTAGACATGTTGTGGTCTTCCATATTTATAAAGATAGTTTGACCATTTAATTTTGTGCACGAGCATTTTGTCTGTATGTATAATACCTGCACCCCAGGTAATCTGGTATGCTCAAAGGTCATAAGAGGGCACCGGATCCCCTGGAATCAGTTTCAGTGTGAACCACTTTAGGTGCTAGTAATCAAACCTGGGGTTTCTGCAGGAACAAGTACTATGGACTGCCAGCTCCAAACATACTTTTAGTTCCGACTTGGACAGGATTATAATTAGTGACATTTAAATAGCAATGAGTATACTTAGACTGGTCTCTAAATTCTATCCTTGGGAAAAAAGGGAAAAAAAAAAAGAATGAATCATTGATTGGAGCTCAGAAGACAAAGTATCTTACTGTGTTAGGTACTAAGGAAGCACCTGAAGAATGTCAGAAGGCACCAGAGCCACCTTGAAGATAATCCCAACCACCCAAAATCTAGGACAATATAATGAAAGTGGTTAAAAAAGGGCAATCTATTCCTTGCAGTAAAACAGCAACTAATATACAATGATAGAAACTAAGAGTTAACAGCGATTTTAATAGTAGTTTACTAAGGCAAGGTTTATTATTAATACAAACTAAGGCTGAGGCAGAAGTTCAATAGTGACATTATTCCAGTAAAGTGTACCAGAAAATACTAAGTAATTCTTTACAGTACATGGTAGTATTATAGTGCAAAACTCAGGCTTGGAGCAATAAGACCATTTAAATGACCACGGTTAGTAACTCAAAGGCACCTAGGTTGGCAGCTATCTAACAGGTGAGTTATACTCTTATTAGAGACATAAAATAAGACCCAGAAACTGCTTGAGTTTGAGACTTAACAGACCAAATGAAATCACTGGGTCAGTTGGTGAATCTAAACAAGGGCTGTGTACAATATTGGTATATCAACGTTGAATAACTGACTTTAAGGTCCATGATGGTTATTTATTTTGGAATGGATATATAAAGAGTAATGAGGCTTCATGTCTCCAAGCAGAGTTTTCAGTAGCTCTTTTCAGAACTAATTATAACAGGCATATGTATCAGGGTAATGGGGTTAAATGGGGCGACAAAACAGTTAACAGTCTCACTAGGGCATTATTCTCCCAATTATTATTAAAGCTTGTTTCTATTTCATAGTGACTTAGTTTGCTTACCCAAAGTCACAACTGATTCTTCAAACCCTTAGGCCCGAGGATCTAACCTAATGATTCTGTGATGCACAAGGCCCAACAACAATCATCGGGACTGAAAGTTTTGTTATGACTTCATATATAAATGCAAACCTAACTTTAGCTTTAAAATAGAGAATAAAATCTTTTATTACCGTAGTTACCTTGTCCGTTAGTCTGGGTTGTCGTTGGTGCCCCAGCAGGAGCTGCAGGAGGAGGCTGTGCCTGCTGCTGGTAATAGTGAGCATAATAAGCAGCCCAAGCTGCCGAGTTTGGATCTGTTCCTGCCTTAGCTACAATTTAAAAAACAAAGAAATGTTTCAAGGTTAATATGTATACTCCAGAAATCAATCCTTACCTTTCCGGTGATCCCTGACAGGCTCAAAAGTTACCAACAGCAAATGAAACTTTCAAATTTTTCTAGTACTGTATCACTTGGCTTTTAGTTCAGAAACTTCAGCCTCAGGTATTAAGTAAATGACTGGTGATTGGTGGAACTGGGATATAAATGGATAATCTTGGCTTCCAATCCAACGGTTTGTCTCAGCCCAATCCTGTGTCTTTGCTCCCCCCCCTCAACAAGTTTAGCTGCAAAGTGCAACAGTTCTGTATAGAAGACAGTTATGGACTAACTTGTACAGGAAAGAAACAAAGATTAGATACATGCACTTTATATTTCACAACAGTCACAATCCTGAAATTATTGCTCTATCATTTCTCTATAACCTTCAGGATAGTTCAGCATAGTTTATCATTTGGTATTTCTTGCACACACTTTTGAGACCATGCCCCATATAACACAGGCTGTTCTCCAATGCTTTCCCTTTTCTTCTTCTGCTTTTCCAGTGCTGGGGCTGCATGTGTGCACCCACTGTTGTAAACATCTTTCATAATACGGACCTCCCAGCTTACCCACTGTGCAGGAGCATGTCTGCTCTCCTGCATGTACAAATGTATGGAGGCCAGAGACTGATTCTGGATGTTCTCCTTAATCATTTTCGCCTTGTTTTATATACAATTTAAAATTCCATTTCTAGTTATGTGTATGTGTACCTGTGTGTATCTACACAAATGTGGGTTACTAAAGAGCCCAGACGGTGTAGGCTCTCTTGGAAAGAAGAGTTGTAAATAGTTTTGAGCTGCCTGATATGAATGATTGGTTGTGAAGCAGCATCTGGTTGGTGGGAATAGAACTCAAGACCTCTGGAAGAACAGTCAGTGCTCTTATTCACTGAGCCATCTGTCCAGGACCCCCTTTCTAATTTTTTGAGCTAGGATTTGTCCCTGAACCCAGAGCTCACAGATCTGGTTACAAGAGCTGCCCAGGAAACTTTAAGGCTCCTTTTTAGTTAGCAGGTATGTGCCTTTGAACCCAGATTTTACACAGGTGGGAGGGACAGAACAGAACTCAGGTTCTGATGCTAACCCCAGCACTGTGGCTTATCCTTTCTATAAACTCCAGTTCTCTCTTTAACATCTCCTAACGTTAACTCAAGTTTTAGCTGCTGCTAAAACAAGTCACCATAATTTGCATCCTCTGCACAAAGCTCAACTTAACTCAAAAAAAAAAAAAAAAGGAAAGTTTTCTTTTTAAAACTAGTAGGTACTGAGAGCTCCCTATTATTTAACACAGGATGAATTCATTTTATCCATTTAAGATAAAAAAAAAGGTTTAGAAAGGTAAAAACTCAAAAAAGCACAATCAACTAGTTATAAAGATAACTGATCTACCTGATTCTGAAGACTAAATTCTTGACATCTATGTAAGCTTCAACCTCATACAGTTTCTTGAAAATGCAGACAATAAAATACTGTATACTTTAAGCAACTATGATCCTGAGTTAGTAACCTGTGGATAAACCTGAGCGCAGTCAGTCTTCCAGGTAGATGGGTTTCTTATCTGTCAAAGGCAATACTGGAAGTCATACTCACTGACCAGACCTTACAGTGTTAACATCAAACACATGCACAATCCCATGAAACCTTACTACCCAAATAATACCTTCCATTTAACCTGTTCCAACTTGATTTAATCATGCCACTTCTAAATGCTTGTTAGAAGGAAAAGATTCACTTTTAAAACTTACAAAGGAAGTCCTATCTAATGCTTCTTCTACACCCTTACAAGACCATTCCCGTCTGTCCACCCTGGGAACGCACTCTTTTGCTAATGGACACACACTCATCTTTCATAGTCATATGCCACCACAATTCATGTTTTTCTTTTGCTTTCTTTCCTTTTTTAAAGGTTTTGGATTTTTCCTTTGAGACAGGATTTTTCCTGTGTCCCTGGCTATCCTTGAACATGCTCTGTAGACCAGGCTGTCCTCGAACTCAGATCTGCCTGCTTCTGTCTCCTGTGTGCTGGGACTAAAGGTGTTCACCACCGCCTCCCGGCTCAAGTTGTTTCTTAAATGAGTAGAAGTTGTGGTTATTTGGTGACTGAGCAAAGTTCCTATGAATTTAACATACATTAAAATATTAAAACATATAACAAATCCAACAAAGCAATTACATTATCAATTTTTTTGTTTTTTCAAAAATACACTATGTAGAAATTAATCTATAACTCAGAACACATTCTTTGAAATTTCCAGAGTCAAACTACAGAGGCTGCAAAGTGAAAACACCACCACCACAACAACAAATCCTATTTCCAAGTTGACTATTGATCACGATGAAGTAGAAGCAAAACTAGTATGGGATTATATAATGAGAACATCATGCTAGAGAAAATCCAGATTGCAAATGTACTTTTCAATTTTGGTAATTAAGGGACCTAATCTGTAGTACTTTAAGGTGCCTTATCAGCAATAAAGTAATTTATACTTATTATTTGAGAATATAGTAGTGTTAGACACATTACATTATAAACAAACATGGACTATTATGAATAAAGTCACAACATACTAGACAGCAGTGTTATCTTACACTGCAGGAGAGGTGCTGAATACAATGCACATACAGTAGAGTAACGTAGGACTGTGACACATAGTATACAACGAAGCTGACATTAACAGTGATCACATTGTTTACCTGGGTCAGGAGGAGCCTGCTGCTGCCAATGTGGATATGCATTTCCCCATCCCTGGGGAGCATACGGGGCTGGAGGACCGCTGGGGGTGGGGAGGGGAACAAAACCACAAATACCATTTTAAAAAAGCCAGTTTATGTGTAGGCTTTGCCTCTGCACGTATTGCATATATGTACATGCAGCTATGTATGCCTAGTGTTGGTTTCAAGATACCCTAGAACCCATTATGAATGGTTGCGAACCACCATGTGGTGCTGGAAAGTGAACCCAGGTCCCTCTGCAAGAATAACAAGTGTTTTTAACTGCCAAGCCATCTCTCCAACCCCCAAACCTAGGACTTTTAGGGAAAGCCCAGAACTAACCAAATGCAGTACTTACTGAGGAGCTGGGCCAGGTGGTCCTGGGTTGTAAGGTGCAGGGTTGTATGGTCCCATTGGAGTTCCAGGCCCTGGAGGTCCAGGAGGCCCATGAGGACCTGGAACCCCATGCGGCCCATGGGGTACAGGTGGCCCTAAAGGATTTACTGGGCCCTGTAAAAAAAAAAGAAAGAAAAAATCCAATAAACAAAAGACACACTCATACAAAAATACACCCAAACAGCGTAATGGTTGAGCAATTCAAAGTCTAACTACTCTTTTCTGTTTCTACGCTTAAGTAACAAACTTAAATTTACCTTTCTCACTTAATGGTGCAAAAAATAGTCATTATCTGATATGTAAAATGCACTGAAATCCTCAGCACTAGCAAATCCCCTTCAGCTTTTATTCTCTTCCATGTTTCTCACTCTTTTTAAGTTTTTTTTTGTTTTGTTTTTTTTTTAAAAAAGACTGGTTTCTTTCCTTCCCTCCCTAATGTCAGACAATTACTGATAATATATTCTGCAAATTGCACATCAAGGGACAACTTCACTTAACTTATGGTATTCTCAATGTCAACTGTGATGTCTTTGAATTCCAATTTAGATAAATGTCATCTATAGTAACTTTCTAAATAGCATGAAAATTTCCCTTACAGTTGATAACACATTAAGACATTTAAAATACTGGTATCACAATACTTTTACTAATCTTTCTCCTTATTTGGAGACATGGTCTCACTTTGTAGCTTTTGCTGGCCTTGAACTCACCATATAGACAGATCAGGCTGGCCTTAAACTGCCTCTGATTCCCAAGTCATGGAATTCAAACCATGTTCTATTATACCTGGCATCATTTCCTTTTACAGGCCACCCTGCCCTAAAACATTTCTTTTCTTTTTTTAGTTAATAACATAGTAACATATAAAATGAAGTGCTTACAATTTTTTAAAAATTATTTTAACCTTTTTTCCCCAGTAGTAGGTCTTGAATTCAGCACACGCTAGCCCAGTACTCTATGTCCTACCCTGAACACTTATCTTACATGTACACATGGTGAATGTGCGTGCCCAAGGAGAGAAGAGCACCAGATCCCCTGGTACCCAAGTCACAAACTTTTTGGGAACTCAATTTGGGTCTTCTACAAGAGAAGTGCTCTTAACTACTGTAACATCTCTACAGCTCCTCAAAGTATTTATTTTATGTATTAATATGCAAGTGCTACAGCTGTAAATACGAAAGCTACTTTTAGCAGCTGGTCACCAACCAAGCCCATGAGGATTCTGGGTATTACTCAAGTTATCAGTTCATCTGATCTAGGCCAAGAAAAAGAAAAGATCAGCTGGACTTGGAGGTGCATGCTGTTCACTCCAGCACTGAGAGGAAAAGGCAGGTAGACCTCTGTGAATTCATAGCTAGCCTAGTCTACAAAATTGATACATTGTCTCAAAACAAAAAACAAAAATCGTTGTGAAAAAGGATACTAGGCTCAATTCACTTTCCCTTTATTTCTACAGATGGTGCCTGTATATTTAGTATGTTGTCTTCATGTGACTTGTAATGTGGTGCAGGAGCTTGTGGAAGTCATGATCAGCACTGACGCAGTGTCCTTCAACAACTAACTGCTCCTCTGTCGTCTATGTGAACTCGAAGCTCATTAATTGGCTGGGTTAGGAAGTCAGGGAGCTCAGAGGTAAGAACCATTAAACTAAGCCTACATCTCAAACCTCTGATGACTGGCAGTCAGTTCAAAGCCAGAAAATATAAATTATTTCTGTAGAAGGTGAGACAGACATCTTATCTATTTTGACTGATAAGGCAGAGTCAGGTAGATATGTAGTATGGACCTTGATAGAATACCAAATTCCTATAACCAGCAAATATTTTATCTATAGACATTCAAATACAAGTATGTGATTCTTCACATACTTTTAACTGCATGCTTAATCATGGTACTTGTATTTTGGATATCTTTCCCATGTTGCTATATGTATACACACTATACTATAAAACCTGCAATTTCATATTAAAAATTATGTATTTTCCCTCGGTACATTTGATTTAGTACTTTTTAAAGTTACTAGGAACTATGTTACAAACATGAAGCCTAGAGTACAACTTACCCCAATCTTCTCTTCTATAAGTTGTCGAGCATAGTCTATTTGCTGTGGAGTGCCACGAATTGTAAATAACTTCATATTGGGATCTGCATTAGGTGGAGGATTTCTCTGAAGTTCTATTCTTGCACCAGACTGCTGGCTTATGCTTTTTATGGTTTCACCACCTAAAACCAGAGGACGGTATGTTCTCTAAAGTTCACAGAATGCAAGAAACACTTTTTTTCCCCCGAGACAAGGGTTTCTGTATAGCCCTGGCTTTCCTGTAACTCAACTCTGCAGACTTACACTGGCTTCAATCTCACAGAGATCTGCCTGCCTCTTGAGTGCTGGGGTTAAAGGTATCTGTCACCATATATGACAGAAATACTATTTTTTTAAAAAACACCTATTTACTTTGCCCATTAAATAAAGTTTGGTAACATTCTACTGGACAAGAATGTTAAGTTTTTCTACTTATTCTGTTCTTCCCTCTAGAACTCATACAAAACATGCTAAAGACTACTTTATACGCACCCTGCTATATAGACACCCTAATATGGATTAGAACAGAAAAATATTTCAATAAATATAGCTTTTGTAAGTAACAACAACCAAAAAAAAAAAAAACCCACACCAATAAAACCCATTTGAATTAGGATCAAGTTTTGTAACTGATAGATTCTTGGTCCCCTTTCCCTAGAAGTCGAGACACAACCTCATTTTTAACATACACTAAAGATTGTTCCTGTTTTAGCTGCCATATTAAGACCCCTTTCCTATTAAAATATGCAATAAAAAATAAATATAAATGGTATGTTTGTAAGTATCCAGAAAAAAAATCATTATGTCAAAAAAAAAAAGAGTTTAAAATACGTTGCCTTTTCCAATTATCAATCCAGTTTTCCCAGTTGGCACAATGAAATTAAACTCCTGAAGTCCACCAGGTGGTCCCATATTCCAGTTTCCTTGACCTCTACCTCGTCCTCGACCACCAGGTCCAGGTCCACCAGGATTGCCAGCCTAAGAAAGGAGAAAACAAAACAAACTCTGTAATAAAACTATTTGGCTTATTACCCCCAACTCTCGTATTTCTAAGCAATGAAATTAAGAGAGGACTTCAAACATTACTTGACAAAAATATTCAACGAAATAATAACAGACAGATGGCTCAACAGTGAAGGGACTTCCTATACAAGCCTAATGACCTGGTTTGATCTCTAGGACCCAATAATAGAGAACCAACTTAAGAAAGTTTTCCTTCGGCTTCCATTGGCACAAATGCCCAGGCACACATACCCATACAAATAAAATTTCAGATGCACTGGGGTAAATAAATTCTACCCTAAAATGTTTACCTTAAAGCAATTTAATGTTAGTCATTTTAACACTGTTAACAGATATCTAAGATAAGACGGAGGGGCATTTTTTCATTCATGTATCTTTTCCAATGAAAGCAAACTGAAAATGTTAATTTCCTATCAAACCTGAACACTTCGTAGAAGGTCTGTGATAATTTCTGCAGCATGCTGACATCTGTCTGGAGGTCCTGTTATTTGTGCTATCCTATCAGGTGTTGTTCCATCATCTAAAACAGCAACAACAACAACAAGAAAAAAACCCAATAAATTGTGACAAACCAATTATAAATGTCAAGATTAAATTAAAAGCTATCAATTCTTAGAACATTAACTATACCTTAAGCTTACCTGGCTTAAACTGAATTCGAACACCAGCATCATTTTGTATTTTTTTAATCATTTCTCCATTTCTTCCTATTACAATGCCAACAGCAAATCTTGGAATTGGGACCTTAAGCAAGTGAAAGTATATTTTAAAAGACATTTCTCAAAGACTCATATCCATATTATCATAAAAGTAAATATACTAAATGATGATCATAAAAATAAGATAAAAATGCCCCATAGAAGAAACCAAGAAAAGGGACAGGATGTTAAGACAAGTCCATTTAACTCAAAGCAGGAAAAACACTATTGCACTCATGGCTTAGTTAGTATACAACCATTCCCAATTCAGGATTCTTACTTACATCTATCCCTTCGTTCCCTCCTATTCTTGAGCCATACTCATTCCGGACTTCTCTGAAACCACCTTGATCACGAATTAACTCTAATACCATTTCCTTGGCTTGCTAGAACAGAAAGTTACCCAAGTCAGAATATGTGTCCAAACATTTTAATGCTTATTTGTCCACCCCGTCAGCCTTGATATATCAAGTGAGGCTTACCTGAACTTTGTATGGGTCGCCCGTAATCCTAAGAGGTTTATCAGCACCAGTGTTTTGAGGCCCATCTTGAATCATGACCATTTTAACACCAGCTCGTTCCTATTAAAATCATGAAAATTAATACAAATTAGTAAAAAAGTAAAAAGTGGCTTCAAAAGACGTAATAATACTCTTTATAGTATAATAATACCTGAAGTTGTTTAATAGTCTCTCCCCCCTTTCCAATAACCAGTCCTGCTTTGCTGGCTGGAATCATGATTTCCTGAACTGCATTTCCAGGTCCATCACCATGATGAAAGCCAGGGGCTGGTCTTCCCTTTTCAACAATCTGGTCCAATAATCTTTTGGCTGATCTGTTAACAAATTAATCTTGAAATAAAAATATGTAGCATAACCAACCTTACCCACAAATAATAATAGGCAGTTTTATCCAGTCATGTATCAAGTATATTCTAAATGGGTTGTATGGCAGTTAATTTGGACGCATTTCATGGTTAGAGGCAAGAAGTCAAACCAAAGGAATGTAAAATGGGCAGTAGTTAAGTATCTATAAACCAAATAAATATAGTAATTTAAAAATATCCCATCTATCGTGTCAAACACCAATGGCTAAATAATGTAATAGAAAAGAGAATTGTCAATGCAATTGTTAGATGCAATGCTTGATGGGCACTGAGTTTAAAAAAAGGCAAGCAGATGTAGGAAGTGTAAACCTTTGAAGGTGCTGTGTTAAAAAAATAGAACATGAGCTTCAAAGATATTTTTATGATAAGAAATTTCCAAACCTGTCTATATGCTCTTAGAAATTATGCCTAAAAGATATCTGAATACTAGATAAAAGAATAAGGGAAGGTGTTAATTTCAGTGTAGGATGACATACTTTGTCACAGTTCTAAGTTTTCAGTAAGTAGATAAGCTTAAGTGGTTTTAGTGTCTTGAACTAAAACCCATGGGCCCAATAAAATACTTTCTCTTCTAAGTAGCCTTCCTTGGTCATGGTGTTTTGCCACAGCAATAGAAATAACTCAAGACAGAGAGTGGTGGTGGGCAATGGTGGTGTGTGCCTTTGGTAGACAGAAGCAGGTAGATCTTGTGAGGTTTTTAGGCCAGCCTGGCCCAGAGAGTGAGTTCTGAGACAGCCAACTATGGATACACAATGAAACCCTGTCTGGGGGGGAGGTGGGAATGGGGAGAAGACAATTAGTGGTAAAGATTGAGTAGTTTTATCAGAGCCTTAAGAGTTGAGTGGAAGAGAAAACCAGGAATATAAAATTTTCACTATACTGGTTATGAGTTTTAGTTTTGTGTGCAAGGCAAATCAGGTTTTAATAATTTTCTGAGTCTGTGTACACACTCACGGTAGGTGTGTAGGCCAAATTACAACCACCAGTGCCATTTTTTTGTGTGATAGGTACCCTGAGGCAAGGTCTCCAAATGACTCTGAACCCATCAAATAGCGTTAGGTGGCTGGCTACCAAGTCCCCAAAATCTGCCTGTTTCCACACAAGTCCTGAGCCATATTACCATGCTGAATTTTTTAGTTTTAGGATTATACTAAGTGCTTCCTACTTGGAAGACAAGAACCTAAATGCCTGAGTTATTTCCTTAGTCCCCGTTTTTAACAATTTTCCGTCTCAGGTTCAGATGACGAACCCTATCTAAGAAAGGCACAATATATAAACTTTTAAAGCAACGATTTCAAGGCAACGAACAAAGAACAACGGTGCAGACGTTATGAAAATGAAGCATTGCCAGGCGGTGGTGGTGCATGCCTTTAATCCCAGCACTTGGGAGGCAGAGGCAGGTGGATTTCTGAGTTCGAGGCCAGCCTGGTCTACAGAGTGAGTTCCAGGACAGCCAGGGCTACACAGAGAAACCCTGTCTTGAAAAAAAACCAAAGAGAAAGAAGTGTATAGTCTCCAGTCTCACTGTAAGTAGATGTAATGGTTTTCAAACTTACTGGACAGATTCAGGGGTTCCAGTTAGCATACAAGACCGTTCTGGAAGGCCACCACTATCTACAATTAAATAAAAAGAAAAGTTTAGGTCAAAAAAATAGATTAAAATTATCTGATCTTTAGAAACTTAAAATAATCAAGGTTCCTATCCAATCTGCAAGGGCTGGACAAAATTACAATTCACACTAAAAAAAAAAAAAAAAAAAAAAAAAAAAGAAAGAAAGAAAAGACAAGACTGTTACCAGGAGCTATCTGTATTTTGCATCCAGATTCCTGCTGTATGCGTGAGATCTGTTCACCTCCTCTGCCAATTACTAGTTAAGGTAGAGAAATGGGAGAAGTTATTATTTACACTAAATTTTGAAGTATGGTTTGTCTTAAAAACTTGAAATTAATGTTACTTACTAAATCCAACCATTCCATCTGGAACTTTGTATTCTTCTGTCATTACAGATCTGCTAAGAAAGAACAGAAACTAACATTTTCTTCACAGAAAAATTATGTGCACGTATACATAAAAGTAATCTAATAAATCCAATCTTAATGTCTCCCAATAGCCCAAACTTAGGTTTTTAAATGAGGTAGTACATGAGTGAGCAAGACAGTGACCTGAACACTTGTGAAAGGGTTCAGAGTGAATGCCACTACTAACTTGTTTGCTTATATAAAACTCAAAGTTTTGACTATACCTTTGCTGCTGATGCATTGGTGGTAACTGTGCTCCAAAAGCTATAAAAAATTTAAACAAAAACAAGCTTAAGTTCAAGTTTATTTATTTAAGATAAACACACCATATACTCCAAACTCTTTCCCTGATATATACATTGGTAAAATAGAAATTCCGACTATTCATATTTGAATCATCATTGATAGTGGCAAGAAAGTCAGGAAAGGGATGCACGGATTAAGAACCAGAGTAGTTAACTTATATTCAAAATTCAGCAATCAGTGTTTATATATACATGGCTCCAATTAAAAGAGAATCACTATTTTTTTTTTAAAAAGCTATACATCTGTAAGGAATATCTGTTGGGTATGGCAAGGCACACACATCCTTAGTCCCAGCACAAGAGAAAACAAAAGCTAGTCTGTTATAGGCTATTTGATCACACCGTGAACCCCAAGATTGTGTTATTTACTGGGGGAGAAAACCCTGCTTATAGGTGTGACGTGGCTTAGCCCTTAGCACACAACTTTAATCCCAAACAATGAAGTTAGTTTGTAGAAGCACTCATGTTTGAAAGTGACATTTAACTGAGTAGCAAAGTGATCAATCAGAGAAAGAGTCAACATAATAGTATTATGTCCAACTCTCAGGAGAATAGAGAGGAGGACTTAAGAGATAACAGCCCAGGGGGTAGGGGAACAATTGTAGAGACACAGGTTGCAGAGAAGGAACAAGCTAGACAAAGGTAAAAACAGAATGAGCCAGAAAATGAGGTTAGTTTGAGGTCAAGCAGAGTATTTCAGTCAGAGGTCAAGAGAGAAGCTGGATTGAATCAGGTTGGAACAGCTAAGTTGATCCAGCCAGAGTTCAGAAAGAACTAGAAGGTTTGAGGGAGGCAGTAAGCCTCAGAGATGACAATTACATCAGGTGAATAAAAAATACTTTTACACAGGTAGATCTCTGTGAAGTCAAGGCCAGTCAGTTACACAGTTGAGACCTTGGCTCAAAAGCAAATTCCCCAAACCCCACAACCTATCCAAAGGTAGAAACAACAGTCTGGAGAGAAGGCTCAGATGATAAAGGGCACACATGCTCTTGTAGACAACCAAATTTCAGTTCTTAGCAACCACATATAATCCACTTTCAGGGCATTTCCACGCTATCTTTATATACACACATAAATAATTTCAAAAGAAGCAACGAAACCTCAGCCTAAAGTACTTACAGTCATTTTGGGGAGGTGCTTTCTTAGCATCTGGTTGATCTGTAAAATTAAGTGTCTTTTACTTTTTGTCAATTAAAAAACAAAGTTCCCCCGCCCTGACAAGCAAGAATAGCAATGTTTATTAAAATACCTGATAATGGTTTACCACTTGAATCAAAAACGACATGATTCAACCTAGACTCAAATATCTAAAAAAAAAAAAAAAAAACCCACAAAACCTACATTCTTTCATTCTCGTGTGTTGTTTAAACAATGCACAGACACTTAAAATAGTTTAGAATAATGCAGCACAAACTATTTAGCTTCAATGCTGGTGAATACCTTATGCTAATGGTTAATGATGCTTCATCCACTGTAGGAACTGACAATTAGGGAGAACTACATAAAAACCAGACATATCAAAAGATGAGTGTATCTGACAGTGATCATAAAGCAATACCAAAAAAGAAAGCTCACATTACAAGACAATTTCAATCTAAACTGTTCTTTTATTCTCAAATGAAGCATTTCACTACAAAAAATCCCCAAAACCTCAAAGCAACCACATGATTGCCTTTCTCAGATAAACAAAATGCATACAACAATTAGAGAATAGACAGCCTATTGCTCAAAACACTATTATTATTCTCCCAACTTCAAGGCTTTGTATAGCAAAAATTCAGACACATAAACCAAGAGAGACCATTGTGTCCATTTAAGAATCCACTGGCTTATTTCACATTTACATACTAAACACAGGTAATAAATAAAAATTCCTGCCTTTAAAAGGAGAGGGCATTCCCTCCCAGTGTGTGGTACTGCTCGGATTTGTCCAAGAGCCATCTACACATAAAATAAAAAGAGTACATTACACACAACATCTGAAGCATCATTAGCTCATTTCTTCTTGCACATTGAAAACCTCACTTGCAAATATAAACATACTTAGACAAAAGGAAACCAAGTATTACCAGAAAGGGCCACAATACAGTCCTATACGCTGTCAGAATCTTTTATAAAAGGGCAAAGAGCATCAAAATTTATACATACATCAGAACTAAAACAAAAAAGTACACACTTCTAAGTGCAGAAGTGTCAATTTTTCTAAGGAGAGCACTATGAATCCACTGTTCTAATCAATGTTTAAAGTTAAATATGAAGCACTCAACAAAGCACTAAAACAATATAAAAATGGGATGCCTACAACAAACAAACCTTAACCTTTAAAGTGCATTTTGAAGTAAATATGAAAACTCAGTAAAATGTTTCCCAAATAACTGATCTTATTTTGTTTCTAGCATTAACACAGTCTGTGCAAACTCAAAGCAAGCATAATCCTAAAATAGGACAAAAAAGAACTGTTTTCTATTACAGTAATACTTTCTGATATACTCAAATTATACTTACCTTTTCTAGGTCTGTTTTTTTCAAAACCCTATCCTTCTGAGACCAATAGATAGTATTTTGATAAGTCATCTCAATAGACAATACTGAAAACCTTATCAAATGAATACTGTGGAAGATACTTATTCCTATTGGCTATAACTTACCTCCGTCTTCTAAGGGTCGCTTCTGTCCCCCATAACCATAGTCATTTGAATTCAATGATGTACCAGCATCACCCCCAATTTTTGCTGCAATCTTAAAAGAAAAATGAGAATACTAATCAGGGTATTACTACTTTATGTACTACTCAGCACTAAATTTCTTACAATAAAAGATATACTATTCCCCTTTTAAAAACATTAGAAAGATTCACTTACTAAGAATAATTAAAACTACCACATACTTCAGAGAGCTAACAAATAATAATAATGATCTATTAAACTTATGATATATCCCCCATTTAAAAGAACACACATCTGGAAACAAAATCTTTCCTACCCTTTGACTTCAAATCATAGCATTATAAACTGTATCTTAGGGATTGAAGTACACTGTCTAGAACCGACAGGTACTGATGTTAAAAGGGAAGTGTTAAGTACCATTGAACTAGGGGAAAATGGCTTAGACTATGGCTATCTTCTACAGTCAGGTTTTATAAACACTGAGTTTACTTGAAAAACCAAGGAATATCCATAACAAACTACACTCATTTATACTCCGTTCATGTAATAGTTCTACAAGTATCCAAAAGAAAAAGCTGGTACTTGGTTCATTCAAAAGAGCAAGCAAAACTTTCAACTTCCCTCATGGGGGTGAGAGGATGAGAACATGGTCTTATTCTGTAGCCCAGGCTAGGCTAATCCTAACTACTAACATGTTAGAATTATGAACTCAATAATGTTTCTATTAAACATGTTATAGGTGGGTAATGTCTTTGATTTTAATCTACAGAAATAACTCAAGCTTTCCACTTGATTTTTGCTCTACTACATTTTCTGTGCTACTTCAAGCAAAATCAAACCAAATCATTTACCACCTTCTTCACTGACCCATCCTTACCAATTTTGAAGTTAAAGATAATTCTCAGAAGATAATGAGGTGAAAATATCCATTTCCTATACTTTAGCCCACACTTTCTACTTCTAATACTTCCTAGGAAAGGTCCACAGCAACATTCGAAATGTTCTTTTGGAAACTTTAACAATGTGTTCATTTATCCTCAATGACACAGTTGCACTAAACTTTTATAAAAAGTGTGCCTCCCAGCACACTCAGGCTAGTCCAAGATCCCTGGCATATATATACCAGAGGACTGCCTGGTCTGGCCTTAGTGGGAGAAAATCTACCTAATTCTTGAGAGACTTGAGGCCCCAGGGAAGGGAGATGGGGGGCAGGGTGGGGAGATGGGGAGAGGGACTGGGGTAAGGGGTGTGTGAGCAGGAATGCAAATTAAAAAAAAAAATCTACAAAAGACAAAGTGTGCCTGGATCATAGTGGACCAGTACAGACAGGCCTGTAACTCCAGTACTTGGGAGGGTGAGGCACAAAGACTCTCATTAAAAACAAACAAACAAACAAACAAACAAACCAGATCTCAGCTGGTCATGGGTGGCACACACCATTAATCCTAAAGGCAGAGGCAGGCCTAGCCTGCAGTGAGTTCCAGGACATAGTGAGACCTTAATCCCCTTACTGCTTTAACACATTAAAGATCTATGGTTATTCCATTTAACATACACTGTGAGCCTTCCTTATACAGGGCAAGGTCCTGCTGGGATTACTACATAGCCAGAATGTCCAGGTCTAACAGATACTATTATCTATACTAAACACTTGCATCAGTCAATGCTTGCTAACGGATGCATCCGTAGTTTTTCTCACACTCCCACCTTTTTCCTCCTCCTATGCTATTCTATGCTTGGTTGTCATTCCAGAAACCCTTAACCCTGTGTACAGTTTTGTACAGCAAGCAGCAGCGTCTTGTCCATGCTGGCCAGCCTCACTCCTCACTGTCTGAATGTCATTCAGTAAGGCATCCTTTTCCAGCAGCACCCTATACAGTGTGTGCCTCATAGCACAAATATTTATATAACTGCCATGCTTTATTAATCAAGCATCTTCTATCTGCTCATTGGTATTTGATTCTCTCATTTCACAAGACCACAACTTAAAAATCTTCCAACGCTACCTGGGTGGAGCACACTTGCTAATAAGCACTAGAGACGATTCTGCAGGAAACCTTAAAACTCAGGCCTGCCTCAGCTTTAATCAGATGCCCAGGCAGCCACACTTGTCCCTGACCAAAGGGTCCTACATGGGAGGAGGCAATTCCAAGTCGCCCTGACTTCTAGACACACATCACGTTGTCATGGAATCCCTCCCTCTCCATGAAGACACACAAAGATTTTTTTCAGCATCTATGCACTAGATAGTTAAGTGTGCTTGCTATAGCATGATAGATTTGATAAACCTTGATTGACTCGGTAATCTTTCAGTCCTGACCAGGAAGGGGGGGGGGATTAGGAAATAAATTTCTAATATAGTCAAAACTGGCTTTAAAAACCTGTTCGTTCAACACTAGTACAAAATGTCTAACAACTACAATAGAGTGCCATAAAGGTTTACTTTAGCTTACAAACGAATTCCGTGACAGACTTTTTTGAGACAGGTCCCTCTTGGCCGTCCCGACTGGCCTCCAACTCAAGAGATCCGCCAGGCTCTGCCTCGCGAGTGCTGGGACTAAAGTCGAGCACCACCACGCCCGGCAGGTTAACATTAGACATTTTTAAGCTACAAAGATTTGTCAAGGGGCTCTACCTGAAGACATTTGAAGTTCAGATTAAGGGGGAAATTTTTTTTTCCAAATACAAGCACTTTTAATTTTTTTCCAACCCTTTTCGTCTGGGGAAAATGGTGCCTTTGGGGGGCAAACAGTACGTCCCTACGTAACACAAAGAGGGTTGTAGGTTTAGACTTGGGAGAGGCAGATTCAAACTGAAGGCTGGGTAAGAATGGGCCCGAGGCCATTTTGAGATGGGGGAAAGGATTGGTGGAACGCCTCACAAATCCCGCCCCGGGGAAAAGCCTCCCTTGTAACGGGAAGGTGAACCTTAAGTCTAATTACAGTGAGGGAGTCGAGCTCGGCGGAGCGGGAAGCGGGGAAGACCGCTAACGAGACAACCCTTCCTGGCCCGAGTCATGACCTAAGTGCCCAGAACCTTCCATGCTCCCGTATCAAACGGAAACAGGCCCGAGGGGAACGGGGCTAAGCACACTCCGTGGGGAGGCCGCGGTGCGGAAGTGGAGGCCCTGGGGCCACGCTTGGGGAGAGCGCGTGGGAGGGGGGCTTCAGACCACGACAGGCTCGGCCTCGAGCCGCTGGGACCCCCCCCACCCCCCGTGAGGAGTCGCCATCTCCTCAGACCGTAGTCCGGACGGCGAGCAGGGCCAGACCTACCCCGCCAGCGGCTCTCGGGAAGGAAGCCGCCGCGCGGTCCACGCTTACCTGCCGCGCTCTCTGCAGGGCATCTTTGAAAGCATCGTTAACTCCTCCGCCGCCGCCGCCGCCGCCAGCTGGGCCAGACGACGGCGGAGGCACTGTTGAGTAGTCAGCCATACTCACGCTACAGCACACGCTGCTGTTTCCTCGCGGAGGTTTCCCTCTCGGCTAACTGTTAAGAAAGAAAGAAAATGGCGGCCGTCGAGGCCGTATCACATTCTTGCACGACCATCGTGCCGTAAAGGGGCGGAGACTAGGAGACGGAAGTCCCGCGATGTTTCAGAGCTGACGTGCGGTTGGCGGGGTTGCTGAGAAGGGACGCCCGGCGGAGATTATCGCGAGACTTGACTAAGATCCCACGATAGTACGGTTTATCCGGGCGCCTCCGCTCAGCGTGATTGCGGGCTATTGTTCTCTGGCTTCGGCGGGGCGATGCTGTAGTCTCCCAGACGTTTGTCACTCACGCTTGTAGAAAACTTAAGGCCGTCGCGGATCGGGGAGCTAGTGTCCTTCCGTGTTTCCGTAGTGAAAGGCTTGACGTCGTCGGGCGTGGACGTCACGCAACAGTGTCCCGCGAGCGCGCGGCCGCAGAGCCCGAGGGCCGCGCGGGGCGTCCGCGGCGACGCTGCGGAACCGTCTGCGGCCCGGCGGGAGCCCAGCATGCTCCGGGGCGCTGAGCTGCCGCCGCCTGTGACCTCCAGCCCGGCCGGTCACAAGCGGGGATGAACTCAGACCACCGGGCCCTTAGTTCTCGAGCAGACTATATGTAAAATAATGTGGGCGAGCGGATGGTGAAAATATGACCTCCCTTTGTCCTTTAAAAACGTGAGTGTTGCGAATTCAGTATTTAGACACCTAGCGTTGTGTGTCTTCGGCCATGCCGTGTGCCCCTTAGACTGAACATGTCGTGTTCTTGACACACGTTGGCTTGACTTCGTCTTCTCCACCCCCCACGCCCCTGCAGGTAATCGGATAAATGGAATGTTCTGAATTTTCATTTCTGGACTAGATGGGTTTGGAGGCAGTTTCTAGTATATGCTATATATGCCAGTAACCACGTGTCTCCAGATCATCCCTGAGCGTGTCTTAGCCCAATGCTAGCAGTTATTACGGTGAATGAGGATTCTTGGGCCCTATTCTGTCCCCTGCCCCCACTTTAGCTAAGAAAGAAAGGTAAAATGACATCCCCCACCCCGCCCCGAATCTGCCTAAGAAGCACTTTTCTTATCCCCAATCTTAGAATGAGAGAAATATGTGCCTCTGGCTTTGATAGCTGGAAACTAATGTGCCCACTAGTTCAAGACCCACTATCAGTTACCAAGTCAGGTGCTTGCAGATAGAAACAGCATGATTTTTTTAAAACCAGCTCTGTCTTAGCCATTTTATAGCTCGGCTTGTCCTTTTTAACCTGTTCATAGGTACCTAGGAATGTTCGTGGATTTCGAAAAACAGTAAAGGTATTGGGCTACAGATTTAATCATAGCAATATGCAGGAAAACTAGCTAATGAGAACATTTCAGTCGTATTTTGAAAAAGTTTGCCCAGCAAATAGCATTTATTCATCAGTAATTGATGTTTTTATTTCATTAATTAGATTTGTATACTAATTAGATGTTCTGGTTGAAATAATTCAGAGTTGTTTACTACCCCTCTAGCCATATTATCATCATTTAAGTTTTTTCCTAAATATTGAAAGGACCTTCATTTCTAATTTTTTACAACGTTGTATATAATCCTGGAAGGCTGGGTATTCTAGAATGGAATACATTGGAGTCAGCTTAGACTTAAGGTTTCTCAACCTCAGTGCTATTGAGATTTTGGACTGGACAATTCTTGGCTGTATGCTTTGCATGGTACAGTATTTGCAGCATCTTTGGCTGCTACTTGCCCTCAATGCCAATCCCATGTCTCCTAAGCACCACCAGTTGTGATAACTGAAAAGATCTGCAGGCATTGGGCTCACACCTTGAACTCTTCTTGATCCCTGTCCCTGCCTTTTCTCTGGCCATCAGGAAGACCTTACTGACTCTTGCCAATATATGTTCTAATCCAATACTTTTTAACCCTGCCGCTTCCAGCCCTCACCCTAGTTACCATCACTGTCATCCCAGACCAAAGGGGAGCACTTTAATTTTGCTCCTCCTTGTTTATATTTCACTTAAGAAAGAAAAAAAAAAAAGGTAAGGAATTTATAGAGATGGCTCATCAGTTAAAAGCACTGATGCTCTTCCAGGGGACCAAGGTTTAGTTCCTACCACTCACAAGGTACATACACATACAAACAAAACACTTGAACATGTAAAATAAAATAATCTTTCAAAAATTAAAAACAAGTTAGCCAGGTGATGGTGGTTCATGCCCTTTAATCCCTAGCTCAGGAGGCAGGGGCAGGTGGATCTCTGAGTTCAAGGCCAGCCTGTTCTACAGATGGAGTTCTAGGACAGCCAGGGCTACACAGAGAAACCCTGTCTGAAAAAAATAAAATTAAGAAGGTTTATACAGAACTATATATAAGGATTCAAAAGTAACATACTCAACGTAGAGAGGTATTATGTTAGTCAGGGTTCTCTACAGTCACAGAACTTATGGAATGTCTCTCTATATTGAGAGGATTTATTGTGATAACTTACAGTCTATAGTCCAACTCTCCAACAATGGTCAGCTAGCTATAAATGGAAGTCCAAGAATCTGGTAGTTGCCCAGTCCCACAAGACTTCTTTCAGCTGGTCTTCTGTGGAAGTAGATCTCAACAGATGTGCTAGCAAGTAACTGCAAGCAGGGAAGGGTCTCCAGCAGAAGGTGTGGCCCGGATTAAAGGTATATACCACCTAGCCTGGATCTGGGACTTGTTTTGTCCCAGGCTGACCTTGAACTCAGAAATCTCCTTGACTCAGCCACTATGCCTCAAGATCTCCATGCCAAGATTCAGGTCAGAAACTTGAGTCTTCCAGCCTCAAGATCTGGATCACAGGTGAGCCCTGCAATTCTGGATTGTAGTTCATTCCAGATATAGTCAAGTTATCAACCAGGAATAGCCATTACAGATATCATCCAACGACCATACTCTTACCTACCTTTTTATAGCTCAGGTATGTCTTCTTTCTGACTGTATTACAATCCATCTTTTCATGATTTCTTGGAAACCTATCTCACCTATACATTTTCAATTACACTTTAAACCCTTTTAACTAGAAAAGTTTTATGTAATCAGGTCTCTTCCTCTACTACAGTGAGATGTCCACTTCGATATCCAAGGTTTCCCTACCTCAGTCTGTATTCTTGCTCTTTACCTGGATGCTCTGTAGCCCTTGGCATGCATGATTTGACTGCCTCATTCAGGCCTCACCTCAGCTCCTATGAAGACCACTGTGATGACTCATCGTGCCATTCAGCAACCACTAACTTATTACCGTGCTCTATAGAATTTATCTGTGTCCTGTGTTTATTTTCTTGGTTCCCTTAAATTAGAGTGTGAACTGAAGAACAATGATTTTGTCCCATCAGTATCAGTTCCTAACACTGTGTTGGCAGTCTAGCTATTTGTTGAGTAAATAAATGTTGAAAAACCCAAACTACATGTTCTTTTTTATTTTTATTTATTTTTTATTATCTTGAGCTACCTGTATCTCAGATTTCTCATCTACATAGTGATCATAACCTGCCTTGTCATTCTCAGGAGAGACATTTCTGAACTCTTCAGGAATCATATAGTGCTGAGCAAATGGGAGTTGGTACCCCTAAAATAAGTTAATTCATCTGGTATTCTCATGAGCAAGAGTGGATTGTAGTACACACTAAATCACATGTTCACATAGTCTTGGTAAAACTCAGGATCCTTACAGATGGCTCATCAGGTAAGAGACCTTACCTGATGAATTAGTCTGAGGACTGAGTTTTAGATTCTCAGAATCCTTATAAAGAGTTGGAGACAGTTACTTGACAGGCCCCTAACACTATGTCTGGCGGGTGGCAGGGACAGGATCTCTAGGGCTTGCTGGCTACCCTGTAGTCTAGCTGTAGATTGAGTGCCTGTCTCAAGAGTAAGGCAGAGCCTGATACAGCACATGACCTGAGGTCTTCTGACCTCTGCATATGTGCACATTTTAAATAAAAAGTTAACATAAATATAACATTGCAGTACGGTAGAGAACAACATTTTAACCAGTGTATGAGACTGGAGGTACCCCAGCATACACACAGAGAAGCTAATTTGTTCTTTTTTGTTTTTTTGGGTTTTTTTGTTCCTTGTTTGAGATAGGGTCTCACTTTGGTAGCCCTGGCTTTCTTAGAATTTAGTATGTAGACCAGGCTAGCCTGAACTCAAAGGAGTCCATCCTATGAAAGCTGTTTTCCTTGCCCCATTAGCTCTGAATCACCAAACCATTTTTGAGGTGAAGCTACTTAATTCACAATTCACTATCTGCTTAAATAAACAAAAACCTTAAAATGCCAAAGGGCTTTTTCTCCCCAGCCATGTTATAAATCAAAAGCAGGCCTCCTATACAAGCAAGAGTCTTAGCATTGAGCTATATATCCTGATAAGGGAACACAGTTTATAGTCTCCCAGAACTGTTACCAGCTTTGTAATTCAAAGTAGAACCTTATTTCCTTTTTTCTTGTTGCAAAAAATATTTTAATACAATCATAGTACAATTATAAAGTCATGTTTTTAATACATTGAATATGTTCAAAAATGTTAATAAAGCAATATCTTCAAACTATTAATAAAACCTATCTGACATTTTCACACATGTATTTTGACCTCATTTGCTTGGTGTTTTCCATATTTATTCAACATCTAGTATTTGAGCATTTGGTTCTGAAAGATGAGTTCTAGTTGTATTGCTAAGGAGGCAGAATATAAATAAATCTGTTTTTTTTATCTGAACTTTATAAGAAAATATCTTTTCAAATGCCATAAATTTGAGCCCTAGAATGAACAGTTAAATAGTTTGAGAGGATTTTGAAATAATCATGAAACTAAAAAAAGGCCTGCGTTCCCAGAGGTTCATGCCTTAATGTCAAGTGCCAGTGGCTTCACATCACATGTGTTCATGCCTTAATTTCAGGTACCAGCGGCTTCACATATTCAATGTGTAGAACTCATATCATCTTGCTTTTGTAATCAGGACCTCTCCTTTTCCATTATAACATTTTCTTCCTGGAAAAAGATCATTTGAAAACTGAAGCTCTTTACCAGAAAAATCCTTAAGAT